TTGTACAACCGTGGTTTTCGGTAGGGGATATTAGCATTGTGAAGATTATGAATATGAAAATGCGTAAAGTGTGAACTGTCGTCAATGTTTTTCACCAAATCAGAGGTGAAAGAAATGTTTTCAAAATGATAAGAACACAATCAACTGGACATCTGAAAATTTCAGTTTGTTGCACGCGATGAGAGTGGTGATGGTGATGACGATGTTGACTATAAACTTATCAATACGGAACGTAAGTATTCGGATGTCTCTTTGGAGAAATAACGACGAGCTTTTCAATTGTATTCAAAATTTGCATAGTACACAAAGCTGATAGAACGATGAGATGAGATCTCATTTCATGAACTGTCGTCAGAGAATTTGCTCTTCATATCAGGAATAGGTGAAATCTTCGAGGATGAGGGCAAACAAATTCTCTAGCAAAAAATTCCATTGCAAATCTTTTTCCAACTATTTGTACGTGAGTATCAGAAGGAAACATTGATGAAACAACATGAAAATCTTCACGGTTTTGATGTGATTAAACGTTTTGGAAACTTTTTAGCTGATGGTACATTTACGGTTGACTCAATAACTGGTGTTGTGAGGACTGCACAGAAGCACTACAATCCTGGTGAAACATATCGAGTTTTCGTGCAGGCACGTGACAGGACACCAACCGATCCAACACTTTCGCAGGTTTCTATTCCTCGGTTATTTGATTCGGGAATATTTATGACTTAGTGGGATCACCGGCGGGCTGAATAGAATTTGCTGTGTGCTTTCTGCAGAACAAGCATCGCACGTGTGTGATAGAATGTTTTTGAATTAATTCAACGAATGAAGTGTGGCGGATTTATCTGAGAAACCAGCAGCTTGTTCCTGTTCGCTCTTTGATAGATTTTTTTTGCAGGAGAGTGAAATTGCGGTGCTGGAAATCTATGCCGGCGATCGTGCACCTCAGTTCGCCAAACAACAGTATTCAATTGGAATTCCGGAGGATACTGAAGTTGAAAATAGGTAAGATGAAGTAATTTTAAGGATGCTTTTGAAGNNNAATAATTCATTAAATAAGCTATCATCGTTTGATATATATTATGCTGAAGATATTTAAGTGATCGACGGAATCACCATTAATTAAGTTTTAACTACACCAAATCATCGCTTGTGTTCATATGATTCTATTCACAATTCCGTTGAGATGTTTCCTATTTCAAAAAGGATTCATTCCACTTGATGCACATTGAAAAAATGAAGTTTCCTGTGCATTTCTCCGAAAACATCAGGCATTTTTCAGCGTAGCTGACGTGAAAGCGCATAGTTTCAAGCCAGTTGATGAGCGTCGTTCGAAGGGTGACCTCAGATATTCGTTGTATGTGGACGGAAACGGTATTGAACGTGAACCATCGCGATATTTCACAATCGGTGAAGCGAACGGTGTGATCCATTTGAAGAAACGAATCGATTTCGACGATGAAACACAACTCAGAAATCATAAACTTATTGGTTTGTTTTCTTTGTCTTAGTTGTTTTCTCGTTTATTTCATCGTTTAATGAGTGGTCAAATTATTTTTTTGCTCCTTTATTTAGCTATTTTTGAACATTGTTTATTGTTGCTCTGTCTCATTGATTCACTTGACTAAATGGCGCATTCGTTTGCAAACAGAAAATTTCGTTCGATCGGTAAAGAATTCTTTCAAGTCTTCAAATAGAAAGCATTCCGAGATGAGCGTGAATTTATTGTTATTTGGGATTTTCAATGCTTATTTCAATCACACTCTATGGAGGGAATACATTATGGTGATTGTAAAGCATAGAAGAGATCACTTGAAGCGAATATCTTCTACCAAAGGCAATATATGCAAATTTAATCATTCGCTTTGGTTTATGACGAAAATTTCTAATCAAACGGACTCACCGAGTTTTATTGCGGCTTGCAGTCAGCCATAAACAATGATAATTGAAGTGATCACTTGATGATATTGAAAGAGCAAAATTAAAGTATCGCTTTGTTTTGTGTTTGATGAATGCGTGCATATATCAGTGCGTAGGGAATATTGAGGCGATGCGAAGCAATAGAAATAGATGGATAGGTCATAAAAAGCGCAGTAATACTTCGTGATATTTTCATAGAATGTTATGAAAATATCACGAAGTACTGATGAATGCTGATGAAATATTGATGAAAATATAATTTGGAAGAGAACTGTGCATTGGCATTGAGCTCAATAACGAAAATGTTCGAATTTGAGGAAGAATTCGTCGGGTTTATAAGGTAGAGAACCAAAGAAATAAGATTTTAGCTCGAGTCAAAGCTTCAGGATGGAAATTTTAGAAAAAGTTGGATTTGGATGGTCAGTTGATTGGTGTGTAGAAAATGAATCACTATTCAAGAGGGTATTTCATAGTTCTTGATTCGATCTTCGTTAGAAATTGATAGATAGATATTTATGTGATGAGACTTTTTTTTTGAGATGTGAGCACCTCACCTGCATGTAATGCTTATGATATATCCAGTAGAAAATATTTTGTTTGAAGATTCTATCTTCTTGTGGGTAAATCTGCTAGATTACGTAAACTCAATCTCTGAAATTCATTTAGAAATAATTTACGAGAATATTTTTTCCCAGAATGCGAACACTTTCCTAATGAGATGTTATATTGTTTGTATTATAGAATATCTTTGACAAAACTGCAATTTGATTAAACTAAACAGAACTAGCGCTTTATAGCTGCATTTAATTATTAGCTGAAAGCTAGACGTTGTCCTATGCTTTATGTCCTTCTCATATAGCCTCTTTTGGGCAATGAATGCCTCCTAGTATGGTTTAATTGAAATTGATGAATAATTGCTTTGTATCAGCAACGCAAGAAGAAGCCCTGAGGTTATGATGTGTATACATTAACACTCAAACACACGGATGTAGATTTATACTCATCAGTTTAGACTTATAGGCATACTCTAATGATCGACATCTTTAATAACTCTCCTCGATAATAGACTCCACTAGCTAGGAGTTGATTACTTGAATATAATAGAATTGCTAAACCCTCTTGGAGGCATTACGATTATTTCATGATCACTTAGTGATGCATGACTCACTTATTTATTCTGCAAATATAATACAAACAGCAGCACATGCTG